AGTAGTGATGTGCTTAAGACAGTTGCCCATGATCTGGGTTGCATCTATAGCATACAGGAGCTCATGATGGCACCAGGCACCCCAGGTGACTCCAGAGGAGATAAACAGTTGGTTCAGTTAGACTCATGAGGTGCATTGGGATAGGAACTATGAGCTTCTTTCATGCTCTTGGTGCCCTCAACACACTTGCAATAACATTGCAGGACTTTTTTTTCTATCCATCTACTGCGGTAATTTAATGACAGTTCATTGCTCACTTGTCCATGGGTTGTACGGATTTCATTAACTAAACAACTATTTTTGTAAAGATTTTCGACCTATATAAAGCAACAAAGTTTCTATGAGCTTTTTGCTTAAAATACTCTCTGACAAGAATCTCACTAAGTATTTGCTGATCTCAACTATGTTCCTATGGCTTAAAAACCTGTATCAATAACTCAAGGGTACAAATGTGTCAAGTGGTTGCAATTATCTTCTAAATAAACATTGGAAAAGAAAAAAGGCACAAGCTAAGCCATAGAAAAACATGGTTAATGCACTCCAATTTACCTTGTCCAGTAGTGACTCCATCACATAATGATGTATTTATGATGAGTGCATAGCAGAGTCTGAAACCTTATTTTTTATAAAACTGCTTAGCTTTCTTTTTTTTTTTTTTTCTTTTTCTTTTTCTTTTTCACCTCCTTAATGGTGTCATGAGTCAGGGTGGAATTAAAAGACAACTAGAGCCATATTGCACAATCAAGTTTTAAGCACATTTGCCACAGATTATGATACATCCCACAAGGAAAAAATCCTCACAGCTCCTGCTACCCACTCTGCATTGAACTGCATGAACATACCAAGTGGAACAACTTTGGAAAGTTTTTGTGGGTACCAAAACACTTTGAGTTTTGTGGGTACCAAAACACTTAGGACCTCTGCTCCATCATCACATCCTCTGAACTTTGGCCTGAAGGTTTCCTGCTTCAGAGACTGTTGGGGTAAAGAGATTAATGGGGAAGCTGATTATGTATTGGCTACTGATTCCAGCTCTGCAGAGAGGTAAAAGTCAAATAAAATTCATTATTTTGTAACATTGTCACAGTCTTTTAAATATATTATACTCTGAAGACTTCTGAAAGTCCCAGAGCAGTATTTTGATATGTTAATTTGAAAAAAATGCATTTTAAGAGAGTTCATGGAGACCTAATATTTTCTTGTGTTAGCATTTCTATTTTTACATTGCCTTGCTTTCCCCCAACATTTTATTTCTCCATTAATTTTAATTAGGTTCTCACTGGATTTCAAGTACAGTAAAAGTACAGAAATGGGAAAGATTTCTTGCCAAGACTGACCAAGATGTCACAGAGATAAAATCCCACATCCTCCCACTCTTCATGTCTAAAGGCTTATATTTTCAATCCAACACATGTCCCTCTCCTGCTCCTCTGCCTCAGATTCAAACACTGGTGGAATCTGTAGTGTGCTGACAAGTTCTTATATTAGTAAGATAGCTATTTATCAAACTGCAACACAAGCACTCAGATTTCCCCTTGTGTCTTAATAGGTTGCATGGTGCCATTTAAGAAATATTGGTGGTATCAGATTCCCAGCACTGGGAGAATGACACAAAAGGGCACTAAATCAGTGTCACTGGCACCTGGAAACAGCTGGTGGAGAAAGCAGTGCCCTCCAAACCAGTGAGTATGGCCCCATGAGCCAAAGTGTGTTTCTGAGAAAATCTGGGCCTGGGAATCTCTGAGGTGGCTTTTGTAGCATTGTGTCCAGATTTGCTGGCCACAGTCCTTGGGAAGAGTGAAGGTAGTGCAGTGTTTGTGATCCATGGACTTGGCTTTGGACTAAGCAGGGTCATGCTCATCAACATGGATGAGTTCTTCCTTCATTTGGTGTTCTCACCCTGGCCAGACAAACCATTGGTCTTGTCCAATGGCAAATACATGGGGCATTCCTGAAAGATACAGTGATGTGTGTAATGGTGGATCCTTAAAATTATGCATTTGTTCTAATTTCTAACAATATGTTCTTCCACGTGAAGTGTTGTAAGGAGATACTGCAGCTTAAGTCATGGCCACTTCATTTTAAAGGGACAAGGCAACCCTTTTCTGCCTGAAGCTGCAGTGAGCTGGAGCAATGCCACCTTCACAAGGCTGAGCTGAGCAGTCTCTGGCTTGTCCAGAGTAGCACTTTAAATTTCTTTCCGGAGTGACCATGAGGGGATATGTATGTGGAGGGGGTTACAGGGAGGTGGCTCCTTTTGGCTGTGTACCTGTCCCTCACCTGTCTCTTGTGGGGTAGCCCCCTCCCCATCCCCTCAGCTACCCAACAGCATGCTCTCTGCAATGGAAATCCCACTCAGAGAACTTCCCTCCTCTTTGCTGGCCAGGGCTGAGCTCCAGGGCATTTCCCCCTCACCTCCCTTTCAGTAACACCTGGCCAAGAGGGACAGGAGATGTGAAGACCTAACAGACCTTGTCTGTTACCTCATCTTTTCCCATCACCTGATCAGGGAGAAGGGAAAGCAATTGGAGCTCTGCTCCTTGGCAGCATCACTTCCCCAGCCAAGTCTGGGGCAGAGGCTCAGAGGTACAAAAGTGTGGTAGGGACTGCACACCTGACATGGGTAGTGGGACAAAACTTATTCCTGGTACAAATTGCTATATGGGAATGACATCTCCTTTGGGTGAAGTTGGTTTAAAAACAGCTATAGAAGTACTGCGTGCCCTTGTCTCAGATGCTGAGAACTTTTTTATCTCTTAGGCAGAGCTTAGAGAAGAAGTTTACCACACAGAAATGCAACCTTACACAATTCCCCACAACTCAAATGTCCTTGAACATGATCTAGATGATGTGGGCTCATGAGAAAGAGAGACTGAGCCATGGTTACAAGTTAGGGTCTACTTCAAGATCACTTCTACTCAGACAAATATTTACTTCCCACAGACATAGAGCTATACATTCTGTAAGACATTGCATTACCTTCCAGTATTTGGAATCACCTGATCTGTGTTTGGTTGATCTGATAGCTGCCTGAAGTATAGGTCACAATGAGTTATCACACTTTTCTGGCAGCACTGAGTGGAAGGAAAAAGCTGTAAGAGAAATGATCTATCGTCCTCAATTGCATGAACTTGGAATGGCAGATAAGAACCAGATCCATTATTTCCATCTGCAGGAGGCAGCCATCTTTTATCTCCATGATCTTTACTGTAGATAAAGGTGAAGTAAACCTCTTGCCTTACAGAAAGCCCTCTGTCCTTTTGGTTTAGAGCATAAGCTCCCTGGCAAGTGTAACAGGCATAACAGTGAAAAAGCAGACTTGTATTAATACCTCCCAAAGAGAGTATGCATTTAATCATATGCTTCATTTTAAGCTTGTGCTTGAACTTCTATCAATTTTTAATTTTGAATGTTAATAAAAATGTTTTGTGAGAGTCAGTGAGTAATTCATAAGTGTATTTAAAGCTATTATTTCCCAATTCACTCAATTTCCAACCAATTCTTGTTGGCAAAGAGAGGTGTGGGGTTTTCTGTCCATGCTAGGTTTCCACAACAACGAAGGTCTCCTTTCAATCTCCTTCCAACACGATTGGATTGATTAACTATGCTACTGTTTATTTTGCTGTACCTGCCAAGTATATGGCAATGCAGAAATAGGAAAAATTAGCCTAATGTGAATATGTGGACAACAGAGAATGCCAGAACAAATATCATCCCTGAACATGCAACAATTCCCATTTGATTTCATTTCAGGACACCCATGATTCAGATGCACCATCCAGGCAAAGAAAACATCAGCTTCTAATTCAAGTTGTAATTTTGTAACAAAACCAGCTGAGAACATTTACCAGAAAATTACATCTTCTCTTTCTTTCTTTCTTTCTTTCTTTTTTTCTTTCTTTCTTTCTTTCTTTCTTTCTTTCTTTCTTTCTTTCTTTCTTTCTTTCTTTCTTTCTTTCTTTCTTTCTTTCTTTCTTTCTTTCTTTCTTTCTTTCTTTCTTTCTTTCTTTCTTTCTTTCTTTCTTTCTTTCTTTCTTCTTTCTTTCTTTCTTTCTTTCTTTCTTTCTTTCTTTCTTCTTTCTTTCTTTCTTTCTTTCTTTCTTTCTTTCTTTCTTTCTTTCTTTCTTTCTTTCTTTCTTTCTTTCTTTCTTTCTTTCTTTCTTTCTTTCTTTCTTTCTTTCTTTCTTTCTTTCTTTCTTTCTTTCTTTCTTTCTTTCTTTCTTTCTTTCTTTCTTCTTTCTTTCTTTCTTTTCTTTTCTTTTCTTTTCTTTTCTTTTCTTTTCTTTCTTTTCTTTTCTTTTCTTTCTTTCTTTTCTTTTCTTTTCTTTCTTTCTTTTCCTTCCTTCCTTCCCTCCTTCCTTCCTTCCTTCCTTCCTTCCCTCCTTCCTTCCCTCCTTCCTTCCCTCCTTCCTTCCCTCCTTCCTTCCCTCCTTCCTTCCCTCCTTCCTTCCCTCCTTCCTTCCCTCCTTCCTTCCCTCCTTCCTTCCCTCCTTCCTTCCTTCCTTCCTTCCTTCCTTCCTTCCTTCCTTCCTTCCTTCCTTCCTTCCTTCCTTCCTTCCTTCCTTCCTTCCTTCCTTCCTTCCTTCCTTCCTTCCTTCCTTCCTTCCTTCCTTCCTTCCTTCCTTCCTTCCTTCCTTCCTTCCTTCCTTCCTTCCTTCCTTCCTTCCTTCCTTCCTTCCTTCCTTCCTTCCTTCCTTCCTTCCTTCCTTCCTTCCTTCCTTCCTTCCTTCCTTCCTTCCTTCCTTCCTTCCTTCCTTCCTTCCTTCCTTCCTTCCTTCCTTCCTTCCTTCCTTCCTTCCTTCCTTCCTTCCTTCCTTCCTTCCTTCCTTCCTTCCTTCCTTCCTTCCTTCCTTCCTTCCTTCCTTCCTTCCTTCCTTCCTTCCTTCCTTCCTTCCTTCCTTCCTTCCTTCCTTCCTTCCTTCCTTCCTTCCTTCCTTCCTTCCTTCCTTCCTTCCTTTTTACCTTTCCTTTCATCTTGTCTTTTTTTCCCCTCTCAACAGGGCCAGATTTACCCAACAAAAACCCTGATGGAAATGGAGAACCGTATGTTCAGAAAGGTAAGGAAAGCAAGGAAACCTGGAGACACAGGATGCTTTCAGAGCCTTAGGATCTTGTTTTAGGATTAGGATCCCAAAACAATGTTCATCTTACATGAAGTAACAGAGAAGACAGGAAACTGCAAGACAAAGAAATCTTTCTGCTCCTCCTTTTCAACTTGATGTTGCACATGGAGAAACACCGAGGACAGCCCACGATGGAGGGGAAGAAGATGGTCTTCCAAGCTGGAAACCCAACCCTCTTCTCATGTTTTCCTTTCTTCTGTCCCTTGCTGTAATAAACCATCAACAATACTCTGGATATGTGGCTGGACACTTCAGCATGAACTTGTTATCATACATGGATATTTCAGTGAAACTTTTCCATGGATGCACTCAAAGAATTGAGGCAAGAAATGACAGGAAACAGAAATTCCTGCAGCCATTTCCTTTCAGAACAGTGATCATTTTGATAACATTTACAACTGTTTTTCTTCTGATTGTAACATCAGTAGCATTCTCAGAAAGCTGGACTGAGGTCAGAGCTGAGATTCAGGATGTGTACTGCATAGGGAACATAATTACCTATTGCTATATATCCCAACCTCACACACAAAAAAAATCTGAACACATTTATTGCTGACAAAAATTTACTAAGAGTTCATATCAAATTCTAGGAGCAACCACTGGACTTTGAATGGTTTGGATCAGAGCTGGGAGCAGTATTTCATTCTCAGTTCTTACAGTGACAGTGGATCAAATCAAAAGCCTGTTTCACATTTTCTTTGAATTATGAGAGTTCAAATTCCAGATCATAGCTCTGCTGTTCAGTGGATATATATTCATTGGCGTTAGTGTTTCTGAATGGATTAACTCAGCCGTTGTGGAATACAGATCCTACAGTTTGCTTCAAGATAAGCATGAACAGTGTTAGAGCAAACATTTTGGACACCTTCCAAGAGAAAAGGCTCGCTCATGGAAACAAAATGTTCTGTAGAGAAGTTGTGAATTTGATGAGTCTGTTGAAAGCAGTCCAGCAGGCGTGTGACCAAAACTTGACTATTTTTCAGTCAGTTCACCTACGTTCCTTTTCCCTCCCAGGCTCCACCAAACTCCATGGGCTGACAGAGCCCCAGAGAAGAACTCGGAAAAATCAAAGGCAGCTTTGGGTTTCTGGGGAGCATATTTTGGACTACAGCTCCAGAAATCCTTACAATGACAATATTTGACTGTCCCTCAGACAGAATACTCTAGGATTTTTGCTTACACTTTGAACAAGAAACTCTAAAAATATCACTGTCCTCCCACAAGAGGAAATTATTCTTAACATGTAGGTTTGTGTCATCGTGCCAATCCACCTGTCTGTGTCAGCAGTCACTCAGGGATGTAGAAGCTGTGTCCAGCTTGCTGATGTCTGTGATGTCTTTGCCAACAGAATCAGACTCACTGGAGAAAGTGAGGACAGAATGTGCTCCAGCTTCCCACAACACGCTGGTGGGAGTGGAGCTGTTCAGGTTATTGGGCTGGGACTAACTCCTCTCCTGCTTTATCCTAAACCCAAAGAAGGCTTCAAGCGCAGAACCATGAGCTTTTTTTGTGTACCAGAGAGAAGAGCTCATCAGAGGGTGCCAACAACGTCCAAGGAGCCAGTAGATGGAAATAAACATTGGTAGTTGCAGAGACATACTAGCTATGACCTCATTACCCAGAAATGGAAGGCTTTCTATGTAAACCATTTACTTAAGTAAAATTATGCCACAAGAAGGAATATACTTACTTTCACCATCTCTATTTATTAAAAACATTGCTAACATGTTCCTTGATAACTTGATTTATGAAGTTTATGACAAATTGCTTTCTTAATTGAAATATGTCAGGTTTCTAAATACTGAAGTTAATTATCCCTCTTTTTCTAGCTGAAGGCTGACCTTTAATTATACAATATTAATCCACATATTGTATGAATTATGTGAAATATCCATTTGGTATGGAGAGGGATACATGTATGTATTATTGCAGTGGAGTACAGTTACATAATTATTTTTAATTTAGGATATCAGCTTAATTAAATACTTGCAGAAACCAAGCTTTTTCAGGAAATTTGCAATTACAATCAATTTGAATGTACAGCTACATTAATATGGTGACAAGCTCAATAATAAAAATGAACTAAGTAATTATGGGCAGGTGCTGAACAGATGTGTAAATAGAGGGTCTCTGCATGGAACATTGTTATATATCATTTTGAAAAGTGAAAAAAACCTGTTATCCATAGACATTCATATATGCAGTTATAATCAGTCACAAAAAAGTTAGTTCTTTCAATTTAGATAAATCACTTAAAAATGTGTATGGCACTTAGGCTTTCATTTTCTGTTTCTGGAAAGAAAGTCTAGTTGATTGAAGACTGCTGCTCTACTGTACTCAAAGAGTCTGCCGCACTATTGAAATATATTCTTCTTTCAACACGTTTATGATGAGTGGGTTTTCAGTTTGGAATGGTTTAGCAGTCAAAACAATTCACATTCCATATTACAAGTTGAGCTTTATTTAAAGAAGGGGGGAGGCTAAGACTAGTTTAGAGTTGTTTGCTCAAGTTATCAGGCTGCCAAAGGCCCAATTTAACCTCCAAATAGTTGGAAAACAATTACATTGCATTACTACTGTGAACTACTTTAGAGATATTTTTTTCCTGTGTTTTAGAAATTTTTTTTCCCAAGCCAGTATATTAAAATATACTTTTTAAAGTCTTCTATTTTCATGTGATGTGTGAGAAGTAATTATATCTGTGATGTAAGCAAGTAAGCTAACCTGAAATAGTTTCTATAGCAATCATGTAGAAACCCAAGAAAGACTGGCATTTAAGGAAAGGTGAATGTGAGCTATCCCCTTGTATGGAATGAGATGCTTTAAGCTTTCTCTGGAAGATCACAATGTTTAAAGTAGCCATATCTAAGCGAGGGGCATGTCTAAACTAGACTCTTTAAGGAATTTACATGCTTTACTCCAAACTGCAGAAATCTGCCTTCCTGTCCCTGATGTTTATGGCTCTGAAATGGATCCCAGTGGCCAAGCCAGACCCTTCTCAAGCAATACTGTAGTAGCAGTAATCTACTTTTCCTCATTTTCAGAAATAGTCACTACAGCTGTTGGCACTGTGGGAAGCTGTGAGAAGCAGCTGGAGCTGTGCACCATTCTCTTTCTTATCCCACCATGTGCAGGGCCACCGTCTTATCTGGAAAGTAAACGATTGACATGTCTGGAGAGAGATTAATAATGCAGCAGTGCTGCTGCAATAAAAACTGTCTGGACAGGTTCCACTCATCTATTTTGTTTGTAAAAGGGCAAACTTCAAAAGCATAAATTTGTATTCCAAATGTGCTACGAAATATTTCAGGTGGGGAGGGTGAAGTGAGGACCTCACAGTGTTACCTCCTAGAGTCCTCTGCAGCTGAATAGTCCTCATGGATGACATAAACAGCAGTGAATTTTACACTGTGTGCTGGTATAGCAGTCTTCCAGACTATCACAAGGCTGTACTTTCTGCTTTCATACAGCCCATAGACTGTATGAAAGCAGAAAGATGACAATTTTTTTTGTGTAACAGCCTTTCTCTCAATTCCAAACTCCAAGATATGCCAAATATTTTGCGTAAAAAGTGAAAAATGAAGTAGTAATTATTTCCTAGGAAGAGTGAAAAAATCCAAAGCAGAAGGGAGGACAAAAAGTCTCAGTTTTGAAGTCGAAATCTTCAGGATGCTTACTGTCACCGGGTGCCTTCCTTGCTACAGGAGCCTGGCTGAAATGATGGGCAGCTCTTCATCATGCCTCAGCTACTGGACAGAGGTCTATTTTAATGCAATACTTTGTGTTTCCAGTCAGAAAAGCTGAAACACAGTTTGTCTTTGTCAGAGGAACATCTAATAGTCAGACTTTGAATAGGAGTTGTTAGAAAGAGGAGTGAAGTATTTGGCAACATATGATATCTGGATTTTCATTCTTTATTCATGGAGTCCAGTAAGGTGGGATATAAAATAAACCTCATACATTCTGGAATGATGGAATGATTTTGCTTGTCATTTCAAAGCCAAAGTGAATTTCTTGCACTGCCACAGTTAGCCACACATGCCTCCTAAATCTGCTTGCATTCCCTTTCCAGCTGCTCCCATAATCTCCCAGTTCATCTATGTCTGAGGAGGTGAGAAGGGAGATTTCAGAAGAAGCTGTGGAAGATCCACGCTACAGGTGCAGAGAAACACAAGCCAGCTCACACCCAAGGGCAGTGCTGAGATAGTCCTTGTGACCCCCATGAGTTAGCACCAGCACCAGAAGCAAGAATCCTACTTCAGCATCATGCTGAGTAACAAGGATGTTCTTCTCAACTACATATCCTTCTCAACTACACCAGCAACTGTGTGTGACCCCACAGCACACTCTTTTAGTGTTAGGACAGGACCTGGGGCACTTGTGGCCCCAGTCCTCTTGTCAGAGAACCCAGTGCCTTCAGTTGCATTTTCGTTGTGTGGGAGTTGTTTGAGCTCACTCCTGTTGTCACAGCTGCTTTAGGAAAACGTTTAGTTATAGACGAGGGCAAGCACACATTATAGATGTAAGCATATGGCTGTCACACTGCTGCCCAACAGCTTCTATAGATATGTGGCATGTTCTGTTATGTTATCCAAAGCACTTGGAATTTTTGAGAAAACAAAAGCTAATGAAGGCAGCTATTACAGCTTTATGTGGCACTTGCTTCCTGATAGAATTGCCAATCCAGTGCTTTGAATTCTGTGCCAACAGCTTTGACACAAGTGAAAGAGCAAGCTGTGCTTTTAACAGATGTGAATGCTTTGGTTGCAGTGATCACTGCTTTTTCAAAACTGTTATCATGTACGCAGGATTGCAGATGCATACTTTTTCCAAAGTGACAACACTCAGACAATTGAGGTAACTTTGTTGAAATAATTGGAATAACTTGCAGTGGCAAGCCTTTATGAAGCAAAACCAAGTGGCATCATCTAGCAACTATTTTACTGTTTTGCAAGTGCTTCTATTGAACAGACACAACATGTGGCTGGCAAGGTAGGCAATGTCCTGCACTGCAGCTGAGGCATTACACCAGAATAAGCCATGCTGCTGAATTTCAGGAAATCTGCAGTCCTTTCATGACTACAGAATGAAGACAAACATAACAGCATTATACATGAAATTACTAGTTAAATAGTCTCAATCTGAGGATAGTTCATCCTCTAGTTTTAGCCTTTCTCACTCTATTTTTCCATGTTTTAGCCTAAGAAATGGCTACTGAAATAAGGTGATATTTTTTGCTCTGCTTGAACAAGGTTGTCACAATACCCTAAGAACTGGATACTATATATTTGGTTCTTTTAATGGCAATTTCAGCAAGGAAATGGCAATTTTTTATGTCTGTGAAGGTGATGAATACAACCTAGAGATACTGGAATGCAGAAGGCTGCTTTCCATCAGAAAACCTCTTCAGCCAGGAGTGCTTGAGGTTTCTTCAAAAGGCTGGGGCAAACAAACAGTTATTTTGCAGAAGCTGTGCTCTGGCTAAGGAACTATGCCTCAGGTGAAGGAGCTACAGGAAGAAGTGAACAGGCTATATAGTGTTTGAGTGAATGAGCAAGGACAGACCTTGTTTCAGAGACACAACAGCCTCAAGGCTCTCCAGGGACTCGAACCTCCATTGTAGTGGAGAAGATGATGGACTTGATGGAACACTGCAGGGTGATTATTATTCAAGGATCTGTTAAAGATGATGGCTGGATATTAGGAAAAGGTTCTTAATCCAGAGGGTGGCTGAACACTGGAACAGGCTCACAGGGAAGTGATCACAGCAACAAGCCTGAGAGAGTTCAAAGAAACATTTGAACAATGCTCTCAGGCACATGGTGTGACTCTTGGGGTGTCCTTTGCAGGGCCAGGAGTTCAGCTTGATGATCCTTGTGGACTGGATGGTCCCTTCCAAGTCAGCATATTCTGTAATTCTATGATACAGTGAAGTACATAGTCAGTTCTAAACCTTTGCTTCACATGGACAGGGTGTGGCAAATCTTGGCACTATGTGCTATTTGTCAAAGAAAAATATAGTCCAGACTTCATAAAGCCTTGACCCTTGAAGTGTTTGTGTTGGGCTTTGGATGAGACATGGTGTGCAGTCCAATGCAAGTGAAGGTTGGGCTGAGGAACCAGTGAGGTTCTGCTTTGCATCACCTGCTGAACAGAAGCAGGTCCTAGCACAATTCCTTACTTTAACAGATTCATCACTAAAGCAGAGCATGATCTGAAAGAGAAAAAAATATGCCAAAAATTTTGGTTTTCGGCTGGCTGGGAAAAATATTTTTCCTATCATCTTTTTTTAAGCTTTGTTACAAATGAGAAAATCACATATTTTGCAAAATGAAACCTTCTTTTAAGGTAAACCCCCTCCAATTTTTTTGACTTTTACTTTTTCCTACAAATTTACCATCTTTTAGGCAGTAAAAGCAATGTAATGAAGTTAGGCCAGATTCTTCAGAACATACTGTTTAGGAGGAAAAGGAAAAGGGATTCAGGAAGATTTTACTCTACTGACATGAACAGCCACGTCACAAGTAAAGAGACTGAGTCTTCAGATAGAGACATTCATTCTGTGCTCTTTGCAGAGTAACTAACCAAGGAATTGTGCTCTCAGCAGCTCCTGCTCTCCTAATCTTTCTCTTTCTTTCTTCTTCCCTTCTTCCTCTTTCCATTAAGGGATTTTTTCACATTCAAGCTGTCATTTCTGAATGTGTGACTTGCAGATTAATGCATAAATTAATAAAAATGTTACTCATGATCAAATTCTTTCAGATCAGAACACTTCCTTAATAACTGCTCTGGGCCAAGTCATAAGCAAAGTATAGAAATAGTTCCGTCTCCTTGTTTGTTAAATAAAAATTACGAAAGTTGGTCTGCAAATACAAGGTGCAAAGTAACTCCAACAGAACAGGAGAGTTTGTCCCAAGAATAAAAGACATCCTTTCTGAGCATAAGTTGTCTTTGAGTTTTGTGCTTTTATGCTGTGCGTTTAATAGAAAGAGAATCTCTAAAAGGTTCTCTTATGCAATCAAATCATCAGGTGATTTAACGACTTTTCTGTCATTTCCTTACTTCTGTCATTTCTCTTACTGCAAAGACCAAAAATTAGTCTGCTATCATAATCTGCTGAGGTGTCATATGGGCAGCTGTTATAATGCACTGACTCTGTGGACCGGAGTGCCACTGTGCCATTGCTCCCTAGCTGCACCTTATGTCACTCCTGTATCAGGCGGCACATCTCTGAGGAGATGGCAGCAGGATGAACGCAAGTGGCAGGGAGGAGGTTGGCTCAGGAGCCACTGAGCTCATCCTCTCTCAGCAGAGGATGTCTGTCAGCTCACACTGGCCATGACAGCTGCACACTTCAAACCACATTGAACCTAAAGTGACCTTGTAATTAGGGTACTCATTTTTGACTTAAAAGTGTCCTATCACATTTCAGGTGATGAAAAAGACTTTATCTTTTCAGTGTTCCTCTTTTCAGTGGACATGGTATCTTCTCTGAAGAATGCAAGGAGAGGCAGGAAGACTCTGATTACAGACTTACAGTGGGTTTCTACAACAGACAACCATCTGCCCCAATTGCACAGATGCTTCTCACTTGTTTTTGTCCATAAATGACACTGCCTACTCAAACAGGCCACTTTAGTTTTTAACATAAGGTAAGATTTGGAGTGCCTAAGATGCCTTTATACCTAGGCTACTCAGAATGTCTTTCATAAGATATCCCCTGAATATCCTTCATAAGATATCTCCTGTTAGGGCTCTCACTTCCAGGGCTCCAGAAGACCTTACTCCCAAACTTTCTCCTCGGGTATTTAGCTATAAGCCAATAAAACCCACTAAACCAACGTGTAAACCTCTAAAATGGTCAATATGTATTACAACATGGAGATATCTGGCATTAGGCAAGGCTTTCAAGCTCCAGAGGATTCACAAAGTCCATTATTAGATTGGTTCTTCACTAGCCCAACATCTGGCTCTCATCTCTCATGGTAGTATTGTGGTTGGGATGCTACCTCAACTTCATTTTCATAAGCTACACTGTTCAGTGATTTATATCAGTCTGCTTTTAATCACATCATGACAAAATTAACCAACTGTAATTGTCACCCAGGGTAGGCTGCCTTCTGGAAAGGCAATAAATGAAATTAACTATGAGGGCAGGATGCAGCTGCATGGCTATGAAGTGGAAGTGCAATCTGTGCACTAGCTTGGTCTCTACCCCATAATGTAAGAGAAAGAGCATGGTCCTAATGGGAAGAAAGGAAGACTGAAGTATCTGTGAATTCATGCTTTCCCCACCTTCTCCCCTAAGTTTTCCTTATGTATATTTTTCAGCTGCAGAGAAATGAAAACATCTTTATTTTTGTTTCATTTCTTAACCACTCTGTTTACAAGAGCAATTCAAATATTTAACTCCAAATCTCAAAGTACTTCCCCTCTCTTCCTCCCATAATTTCAGTTTGTCAGCAAAAATGCACCCATAGACTCATCATGTTCACACATGTGTGTATAGCATCCAAGCCACATTGTGCTCTGCAGCCCAGTGAGAGCTTTTGCATAGCTGGAAGGAGCAGAGGAATGGGATCTGGAAGTGGGAAACCTTCCGAGCATAACTTTTCCATTTTGGCTTCAGCTCCAGCACTGACTGAAGTCACAAAGTGGTCTTCTAGCAGCTCCAGTAGGCTTAGGAACAGGCTCTAACAATGGAGTAAGCAGAAGATACATGATTATGACATCAGCTTCTTACTTGTTGCCAATATTTTTTAAACTAGGAAATATTAGGAAATATTAGGAAATGTGATAACACAGTGAAATGTGGTGACAATAGGAATACTGTTCATCTCTTGTTCATTCAAGTTATGACACAAAGTAGAAAATACAATAAAAACCATGTGGTGATCTTTAAAGTATCTGGCTTCGTTTAAAACTACCCTTTTTTAACAAGATCAAATGTAAAACAAAGTCTTTAAAAA